TACCTAACAGGTCTAGGGCTGTGTTTCACCACATCTTAAAGTTGAGACCAGATGATGGTCAGACAGGGCAAAAATGGTTTTCTAGAAGCTGTCTCTGTAATGAAAGTGAAAGATTAATCATGTCTCACTTAACTGACAAATCTTCACTAAGTTGAGGCAGATATTAAAAATGTACCTCAAATAATATCTAAAGCAAGCATGACTGTGTACCCCACACTATTACTCACCTCAGAAGTGCACCTGCCCACTCATTGGCCAATACGCTCTACAGATACTTTGTCAGTATTATTTAGATGCAAAAATAGCTTGAGGCAATGGTTGTTTAGCATACATTTATTTGCACAAGAATTTCAGCATCATTAAGGTCCAAACCCCATCTTCCAAGGATGACATGTGAACACCACAGTGAAGAACAGTAGACAAAGTTACTGTGACCAATCTCACATTTGGGCTCATCACAAATCCAAATATTTCTAGTACCCTGTTTTGCCAGCTAAAAAGAAAGGAGAGGAAAAAAAACAAACAAACAAAAAAACAAAACCAACTTACTTCTTCCAAAGAGATGAGAGACAGGTTTTCCAAGAGCTGACTTCTTTTAATAGCAAAAAATAAGAAACATAGGAAAAAAGGCCTTCTAAATTTCAATGGGAAGTGCAGTTTTATTCAGAGAGACAAGCCCAATTCAGACATTTAAGTGAGAAAATCCAGAGTGCTCCAACCCTTCCCCACAAAGTTTCTACTACAGACCAATGTCCCACTCTATATCTAGCTTCATTGCAAATAAAGAACATTTATGAAATACACTTGACTGTATTCAAGAAACAATTGAGTAAGACTTAGATGTGAGGGCTGGAAGTTTTATTATTCATTTGACTATCTCAATGCCCAAATGAGACCAAGCTGCTGGTGCCTGTGGTCAACTTACTGCTCATTCCTGTGCCTAACAATTACAGAATCCTGACTGAGTTGAGTGAGAGGAATGGGAAACAAATACCATCAGTACACTGACAGTTTAGAATTAATGTAATTTCTTCAGGTTCTCTTCTAAGAAGCATTTCCCAACTACTCATATAGTGACAAGCAGAGATCACTAACATCAGTGGTTATCCTAGGAATCGGGAGCCCACAAAGGCTAGGGACATACCAAATGCTTAACCCCAGAACTTAAGTCCAAAATATGGATCTCTAAGTTTAAATAAAAAGCTTTAGGTATTTGGACTAGATTTATGCACTACCTACTGCTTTGTAGAGGAGGTGATTAAGTGAAAGCATGAGGATCTTTTGAAACATGGTTATTCAGAAGCAAGCAATATTCTTAAACCCCCAACTTAGTGATTGACTGACTGAGCTGAGGACATACACAGCAATAATTAAATCTTTAGCAGAGTAAGCACAAACTATGCTTTAGATTACAACTTGTCACAGTGACCATGGATCAGCACAGGGATTTTACCAAAGTGACTAAACACAGTATTCTACCAGGTCTTTTTGGTAGCATCTCTATTAAATAAAGAAGTCTATCTTACAGTGAGGAAGTCACAACAATAAACTGCAAGTCAAGGGAAACTTGGCAATAAACGCTGTCAACAGGTGCTTAACCTCAGACTGGCTTTGTCCAGCAGTGCTTATAAGCTACACTAAGCAGAAGCAAACAGCTATTTTACACCACAGCCTAGTTAGCAGAAGCTTGATCCTGAGGAATGATGCACTGAGTGTTACTGCAGCTTTGTTTTAATGGCACTGCCCAGAGGGAATGTATCAGGTAACAGTCTGAAATACAGTAGTCTCTCTCTAACCTCCACATGACACCCAAGAGGCTTGCAGAGGCATTATTAGTGCAGAGGGGTGACTGAACCAAGCAGGCACCCTAGACTTGGCCTAGGATCATCACTTTTACATAGTGCCCATTCTCAAATAACCCTTGCAATAGGGGTCACCATAAACCTGAACTCAAACCAGTTAACCCACAGCAAATTAAGCCACTGCCACTTGCACCATCAAGCTGCCAGGACAACCCAGAACAGAAAGGGGTAGGCTGCTTGCAGCACAGCGATGAAAAGCTACCAAGTACACCAGCTTTACCTGCCAAGCCTGGATTATCTTGAAGGCAATGGGACAAGCAGTGCCCCAGCAGCCCCTGGTACTCCAGGGTCAGCGCAGCAGGCAGTGTGCAGGGTACAATTTAACCATTCGAGGGGTTAGTATCCAAGAGCCAGGTACAAAGCATCAGCATTTCCCATGTGTCTGAGCATTGTAACAACCAGACAGGGAACCCAAGAATCCTGCAAAGCTCAAACCCACATGCTCAGCTGTTCAGAGAGCAGCAATTCAATGTGGAGCTTCCTCGGAGGCCTCAGCATCAAGTTACATCAGCAAAAGCACAACACTTATGGCAGGAAACTTGTCCATAGCTCTAACTAGGAATCCAATTCAGCCTTTTTTCCTTCTCCAGCCTTTTTTATTTTTTTTTCCAGGAGATGCACCTGGCCTGATGTCCAGCAGCCAAGGCATTAAAGACTAATAAAACAAGTCTGTGTTTCCAGCTTGTGAGGACTTCTCTCAAGCACCTCACCACTCTCCCACGTGAGCCAATGCACAAGAACAGTTCCTAAAGATCAACCGTGACATCACAGAAGGCAGATACCTCAGCCTGAGCCCCTCCAGGCAGCTGTTCACTTCTGCAATGACTATAGCATAGGCTGGCCTCAAAAACATCTATGCAAGAGATGACAGCAATTACAAACACTGAAGTCTTCTTTATAGTGACACTCTATACTAGGCCAAGTATTGCTTTCCATGCAGGAGTTATTCTTGCCTAGAACTGCATTCCAGCAGTAAACTTGCACTAAGTTTAACACATATGACAACACTGGCATCATGTTAGTTTTTAAAAAGTCAAAGTCTTGGATGACAGATGTCTTGTCTGTAAACCACACCAGGTCCAAGCCACAGTTAATGAAAAAGGCCAGGTTTGCTTTCAAGTTTAGCTACTTTGGCTAACTAATCAGGAAGCCTTTAATGAAAAAAACCCACAATATAATCCAACAAATTATTTCTCTTTTTGCTACTGAAGTTACTACCAAAATGCTCAGAAAATTAAGCTAAAGCCTGCTTGGCTAAATACAGTCTACTTGGTAGGTTGCATCTCTCCCTGCTTTCCTAAGCTACATGAAGTCTGAACAGAGAAGTAGCCTCTGCTCTGTTGAGGCAGTCCTTATGAAGTAGTTATGAAAAGTGGAAAGAACTTCTTGGTCTTATGAGGAGCAGGCAATTTTCACCATCATTTAAGCACAGCACTGCTGCTGTTTTCTACCTTGAATAGCAAGCAAACATTTGGTGTTCCACCTGCTTTCCGCTTTACCTTCTAAGCCTTAATCATTTGCTGGATCAGGCACTTTGGTCTTTCGAGCTTGCAGAAACAGTAATAAATAGTTATAGAATAAAAAATTCAGTGAACAAGCATTCTTGAATTAGTGAAAAGACCAGAACATAGTCAATAGCTGTAAGATTTGCCTTTCTAGTCTACATCTCTGGTTAAACAAAAGAAACTCAAGATCATTGCTATATGTAGTTTGCTATTATAATTCAGTGAAAATCATCTGGTTCATAACACCACTGCATAAATAACTGGGGAATTTTTAACCTTCCTTATAAAGCCCAGGAGTCTCAAAGCAGCAAGTTCAGCACACATCCTTCAGGAAGATCAGCTCTCTGTACCTCCAAGGGAGTGTATACTCTTCCAGAGACTAGTCTGAACTCAGGCCCAGACTTGCAACACATACAGCTTCTGTGGAGAGCTCTGCTTTGGGTTTGTACACCTCTTCAAGTGAGGGTTAAGAGCAGTAAAAAGGAAGAATTTTTACCCTAACCAATCAAAATGCTGTCTCACAGTGACCAGGTGATAGTGATAACCCAGTAAGCTCAGCAGTGACAGAAAGGCAAACCTTCAGGACCAGCCTGAAGTCATACAACAAGAAATTTTAGGAGCCACTTTCAGAATTCACATTGTGGCAGGAGTGTACATAATCCTGCAATTTAGAACTACTTGGAATGTTTGTTTAGGGTTTTTGCAGGTTTTGCTGCAGATCTGTGAGGAAGAAAATCTGGTCAAACCCCAAAGTAAGACCTGTGCTATTTTCCAACTGTGCCAAAATTGTTTTGAAAGATAGTCAGAAAAGCTTTTGCTTCATGCTGGACTCGAGAATATTTTTTCAAGTTAACTGTTCAAACTATTTAAAGCTTCAATTCCTCATTTCAAGGATTTTTTACATTACCAAGTTTTAGATTATGTTTTGGTGTGTTTTTAGAAATGCCACCTTCCAAGTTTTTGTAGTCAAGAAAAATTTAACCAGTTTGTGCTTTATGAATAGACTTACTAAACTATCTTCAACTTCCAAGAAATTAATCTTGAACTCAAGGCAGGACCACATAGCCATAGGCACTACAGGAAACAACATTTATGTCCTCTACAAGACAGACAGTATCCACACTGTTACCAGCTTTACAAAGACACAAAGTGAAAGCAACCCAAGAATAACATGAGCCCAGTCTTGGCACAATTAGTTCAAGAGAAATTAGGCCAGAACTTGGACTGAGGAAGAATAATGAGGTTAGGAAATAGAAAGCAGTGTTTTGCTGCTACTCCAAGAGCAGTTTCTGCTTAAGGCATTTTACAGTCAATTAACCAACCCAGTTTACTGAATACTCCACTTAGATCCCATGTTAACAGCCACTTCCAGAGCTAGTACAAAGTTTCTTAACTGCTCCTCTTAACATTTGGCTGCTGGTTCTCTCCTCCCGATGAAGAGGTAATAAGGCTTTTTGGCATTTGTAGAGATACTCAAAGATTCATAGCAGGTCACCTGGCTGCATAATCCCACTGCACACCAGGAAATGGACAGTCTGATACAGTCAAGTTTCCATTAGAGAACATCCAACTGACACTTATTACTTGTCTATATTTACACTTGTGGCTTTCAGTAGCCTCCAGCCAGGAGCACTCGAGGGAAGCGATCAATTGCAAGGCAACCAAGTGGGGTAGGATTGGCTGTACAGCACAGGGGCACCAGCAAGGTAGTAGTTGCTGAAGTTTGCATCGCTGACATAAGGTGCTGGCTGGTAATAACAGGTCACATTAGTGACATTAGGGATGACATTCTGTTCTGCCAGCACCTTGAGTGCCAGCAGAGAAATCAAATTGAGAGTCTGCCTTCGCTCGTGCCCCATGAGGCAGACGGTGCTCTCATTCACCACCCTGCGCAGAATCATGAGGTAGTCGTACTTGCTCCTCTCCTCTTTGGAGAAGTGGTTCTGCAGGTAGGTCTCCAGCTTGCGCTGCTGATCCAGGATGTCTGGGAAGTCAATGAAGAATCGGGAGCACATGTAGCGCTCCAGCGTTTTGATCTCGCGCTTATCCATGGGCCGGAAGTCTCGTACTAAGAGGTTACTGTACTTCAGCAGCCCACCACCTCTGATCTCTTCAGGATTTTTGGTAGCTATCAGCTTGTTCTGGAGGTGATCAAAAGCTGCTTCAAAGTCTCCGTACATGCTCTCCCCAATCACAGTTGGGTGGAAGTGCTCCGACATGGGGGTTTCCGAGTAGTCATAGTAAAAGAGCAGGGAGTCCAGAATGATCTGGAACGAGTCTACACTAAACTCAAATTGCCGCCGTATGCAGTCTACAAACTTAAGCTCCACATTTTTGCCATGCTTGTTGGAAAGTGATATCAAGCTCCAGCGGTCAGTCTCTGTGTACACTTTGACCAGCTTCTGGATGTAGGCTTCCTTCAGTGTTACAGAACTGATCTTCAGCTTGCTTACTCCTTCCGGCAGGAAATTCAAGAGGGAACGCAAGACCACGTCTCGAACTAACTGAAACTCTGCCTCACTTGGGAGAGAAACTTGAAAAATGAGATCCAGGTCTTTGCATCCCAGCCCATTATCCTTGACCAGGACGTGACCAGCTGCAGACCCATTCAGACGGACATCGTGGACCACAATGCCTGCTTCACTCAGCCGGCTCCGGACCGTCTGAACAATGTCCTTCAGAGTTATCTGCAGCGTCGGGAAGTTCCCCCGCCCGTGGATGGGAACCACCTCTGTAAGAACCTCGTGCAGGCGGCTGACCTGCTCCCAGTTCAAGACACTGCAGGACATGGAGTCTGCTCTGCTACTTCCTTTGCATGCCATCTTTGGGCTTTTCTTCTCCAAAGAAACTGTATGGAGGTAGAATATAAAAAGAAAAAGACAAGTCAGAGTTTCTTTTTGTGCTTCCTAGATCTACTCCTAGGCTCTGTTTTTCTGTTCACTCGCACAGACACAAACTAGACAGAAATAACTCTATGTATTAATGACTACCAGCAATCCTTTCTTCTGAAATGAGACACAGCTTTACTATTGGTGCAGGCAAAAAAAAAAAAAAAAATGAGTTGCCTTTGGGTTTGTTCAGGAAAGTAGTTTGTGCCAAATGGAAATTACCGAAGATGACAAACTAAGGCTAAAGTCCTCAGCAGCACCAGCAGAAGTGAGATGAGCTGCAAAGCACTTCAGAGAGTTAAGCTCTGAAGTTGTTTCATGATGCATATAAAGCTCAAACTGCTGTTTCCAACTAACACAACTGCAGAACACCCTCAGGTGTTAGTTTCAGAGCTTAGACATCCAGTCCACTGATAACTCTTAAATTATGTCAAAGATACAAGATTTCTTCCTTAACATAGAACACTTTCCTTTCTAAATGATCCAGCATCTATCACTCACAGGATAAAGGCCAAGTACAAGCTGCTCCTGCAAAAAGCTGCAGTTCTTGAACATCCTGGACAGAATTTCAGCTGCAAACTCGGGCAACAGCATTCAATGGGCACTCCAGTCTTTGAAGAAGGGTAAAGAGCTGCTTACAGAGACACTGCCTAACCAACTACCTTTCTGGAAATGCTCATACTTGTCCCAAGGTCTGCTCATTTGTGAAAGGCAAACAAGCCTGTAAGATCTGCGATAAATTCAGATGATGCATAACAAGTTCATGTTTCTCTTTTAACATCTAGAATCTCACTAACCAGACTTGGTCACAGCCTTGTCTGAACATTTTAAGCACAAGAGAATGATCTGATTAGCTGTGACAAGATTCCTTAAGTCACTTGCCTATTGTAGCATGGAGATACTTACAGATGTTCTACAGTCATGCAACTCAAACTGGTGTTAAGACCCTTTTCTTTTTTTAAGTGTTCCAGGTTTTTGCGTAGCCAGGTGCTTCCTGACAGCTACAGACTAATTGAGGCCTCACCTTCTTCTGCCCCAAATACTCCTGAAGACTGCAGCTGCCAAGGTCAGACTAGTCAAACTTAAGAAAATTAACTCTTGCCTACCAAGAAGGAAAAACCAAGCCCTATAGTTTCCTGGCATGCAATAGCACAGTGCATGGAATATATTAAAGCAAGTTTCAAAGAACAACTATTGTCATCTCAGACATCCCCTTTCTTCAGCTTTTCATTTTTGAGCAACTCATTCGACCTGCCACCTCTTTGGATGAAGAGAGTCAAATCCCAGAGCAAGTAAACAGTGAGGTTAGAACCCCTCTAGGGAAGAAGCTTCTGTCCTCAAGCAGGAGCTGCTGCATTACAAACTGTTCTGCCATGGATCACATCAGCACCAGCAGGTATGAAACAAACCTCTGATTTGCAAGATGATTAATCTAGGACAAATCAAGTGGTTCTTTGAGCTTCATCTTTAATACTCCAACACAGCATAAACACAAACACATCAAACCTGCCAGCAGTTGCTCTCAGGCAACTGAGAGCACATTAAAGTATGTTTCCTTAGTGAACTCACTATATTTCTATTAAATCTCTCAGATCACTAAAGAACATAAGAGTCTTCCCACAACTTCTAACTGAAGCTGCAAATGCTTTCAGCTACTGCCTCTAAAACGATTCCCTCTCCTTCTTCAGATTTGTAGTCCTCTCTGCAGCCAAGACAACACACGCATCTCACTCACACAGTGACCAGAAAGGACTTGGACCAGCGCTTCCAACCACACCATACACACCTGGCTCTGCTTGGTGACCCTCACCTAGGAGGGTAATGCACATTGCTGCCCTTGGCGGGCAGAAGACAAAGTACTTCGTTTCCAGTTCAGTGGAGGATTTAATTCTCAGGCTATCAACCTCCAAAACCTCCCACCCTCAAATCACTAGTGTTTGCCTACTCGGCAAGGTTTATGTTAGTGACAAAAGATTCCTAGCGACTCCAGTGTATTTGGGATGCTAACAGCTCCCATGCCTCCTGCTTCACTGCCAGCCACTCCCTCCACAAGATCGGACACCTGAAGATACTCAGTCCTTAGGAAGAAAACCACTACGGAGGCAGGAAACACTAAATATCTTTAATACCGAGCATAAAGAGCATTGAATACATCACTCAAACCAGAAGCAAAAAAAGAGCGAGGACTACACACCTTCACCTTGGTCACGACGGGGTGCGTTACCCTGCAGCAGCAACTTTCTCCTATAAGACATATAATTTAACACAACACCCAAAAATCCCCCGGGCCTGTCCCGCGGAGCCCAGCGGCGCTGGGGACGGGAGCTGCGGCTCCCTCCGCCTCCAACACCCGCATCCACGACAGGAGCGCTGCCGAGCTCCTGCTCCCGGGAGAGCCCGCCCCGCAGAGGGGAGAGGAGCCCCGGCCCCGCCGCTCACCTCGGCCCCGCCGCTCGCCCCGAGCAAGCACGCCGGCCCCGCCGCTGCCCGCGACCGCCCTTTATGGCCCTGCAGGGCCGCCCCGCCCCGCCCGGCCCGGCCCGCCCGCCCCGCCCGGCCGGCGGGGGCGGCTCTGGCCGCGGTCCGGCCGCCGGCGCCGCGCCCGGGGAGCGCCGCGGCGCCCGGGCCCGGAGCGGCCGGGGGCGGCCGCCCGAGCGCTGGAGCCCCGCGAGCTCCGCGCACAGCGCCCAGCTGCCCAGCCCCACGGCAGTGCATACTTGTGTATAAAGTCTGTAGATAAATACAAACTTTTCAAAGGGCCCCTCCCTTCAGGAAGGACACTGCGGGGCTGGAGAGCCTCCAAAGAGCAACGTTGTTGGTGAAGGATCTGAGCACAAGTCCCACGATGAAAGGCTGAATGAGCTGGGGTTGTTCAGTCTGGAGAAAAGGAGGGTCAGGGGAGACCTTATTGCTCTCTACAACTGCCTGAAAGGAGGATGTAGATGGGTGGTGATCAGTCCCTTCTTCCAAGCAACAGTGACAGATGACACAGTCCTAAGCTGTGGCAGGTTCAGGTTGGACATTAGGAAGAAATTTTTCACTGAAATGGAGATTAGACATTGGAATGGATTGCCCAGGGAGATGATGGAGTCACCATTTCTGGAGTTGTTTAAAGGAAGACTGGATATGAGACTCAGTGCCATTATCTAGTCAACATGGTAGTGTTTGGTCATAGGTTGGACTTGATGACTTCAGAGGTCTTTTCCAACCTAATTGGTTCTGTGATTCTGTGAATCTGTGGGCTGACTGAAATACAACAGGGCTTTCCTGAAGGCACCTTATCCCAGACAGAAGAGCTGTTAGCAGAGATCCCAGACGTCCAACTCTGCCAAAGAGTTCTCTGTGGTGCCTGACTGGAAACAGCCAAACCAGGCACTCATCCAGAACCTGCAAGGATGGGCTCACAAGGATGTTGGAGCAGTGCTGAAACAGTGTGCTACCGGAAACTGCGGCTGATGGGCTGTGGGAGGCTCTGCGCACATAGACAAGGATGATGGAATGGCTGGACAGGAATCAATTTGGAGATGCAGTGTCATAAAAATCAGCTGGTGGTTAATAGCACAGGGTGCGAGATCATTCTGGGGGCAAAAGTTACAATTTCTGCTGAGAACATAATGTTTCATCCAATACAGGGGTATCTGCCTTTTGTTACGATAATCAGATCTCAATAGAAACGGGGCGGGGGGAATCAACACAACTTAGAACAGGCCAGAACATAATCCTAGCAGAAGTAAAAAAAGTACTTACAAAACAATGGAAAAAAAAATCACCACTACATCTGTTATACTGTTTGGCCATACACAGTCAAGAAAGATGAATTAAAACCTGCACATATATGGAGAAGAGCTGGCCTTGAATGAGGAAATGGGAAAGCTCCTTTTTGCCTAGCAAATACAACAGACCTGCCTCGTTTCACCAAAAAAGCCAAAGCTGAACAGGAATAGGGATGGGTTAGATAATTATTTATTTTGCTCCAATATTGCCCACTGGGATAAATAACAGGAAACAAAATTACCTGTTTAAATTAAATTACCTATTTAATTAATAATTACCTATTTAAATTAAAGGATAACTGGCACAAGAATCAGATTTGAGGCAAGTTACCATCTTGTTGTCCAATGAGATAAATCGTGAGATTTCAGAGCCTTGCAGGAGGGAAGGGAATAAAACTAGGTTAAAGATGCAGCTAGAAAAGGAAATAAGTATATGATTGCCTGTGCTGGTATGGAGCTGATCATGAGGATCCAGAGGTCTCTCAACACTTTTCCCCTATGTTTCTAAAATTAGAAAGAGAAGTAGGGAACTCAAAGAGAAGTGGTAGCACAAACGAAAGAAGCACAACCACTTGTAAGGAAATGTCTCACTTGGAGATTAAAACAGTGAATGATCTCACCTCTTAAGCATATTTCTTCAGCAAGATTTCTACCTCAAATACTGCCTTTTGACAATAACTGATGATTTTGGGCACCATATTTTCTGTTGCCACATGGGGAGCAATTAAAGTACTTACTAAGAAATATTTTCTATGGGGAATATTTATTAGATACCAATATAGACAAAGATGTGAAAGTATTAATGAAAAGAAGAAATGTGAACTCCATACCTTAAAGTTCATACTTTCCATTATTTATTTAAAAGTTCTTGTTTCACAAAAACATTTGTACACACAAAGAAGTTTCTCAACTCTATTTTAGGGTGTTTTCTTTATCCTCTGACAAGCAGACCTTGAGGGCTTGTCAGGGGAACTGTACACTGCACAGTGCTTTCTGCAGTGAACTTAGACCTCCTGACAATAAACTTGTTCTTTTAAATTGCTTTTCATGGGTGCCACACAAAGGATCCTTGGGATGGGAATTGGACATGCCATTAAAGCCAGCTGGACCAGTCTCCTAAGTAAATTGCAGGAATAATGAGGCATGCATCTTTGAGGAATGAAGGAGCCCATTTACCCCTGAGGAGAAGCTGCTTTCTGCTACCCATCCACCTGTGTCTGTGCAGTAGATTATGGTGCCATGAGGATAGAAAACATGGAAACATACAGCCCACTGCTGAGACAAGAGATTAAAAATCGTGGGATACTGCTCAGGTGCTGTGGCTGCTGAGGTGACGCACGCCCAGACACAGCTCCAGGGTACCATCTTAATGTTTAGCAGTTATTTAGGACTTTCCTGCTGCCAGCTCTAATTCTAAGTCTAGGGAGAAGTAATGGGTGATCCCAATCTTTGCAAGACACTTTCTCCAAGAGTGACTGGGATACAGATAAAACCCTGCCACAAGACAGCGAGTGCTGGCAGCCACCATGCTCCTCTGCTCCTGGACAATTGTCATCTCCCCCTTCTCCCTCAGCTGCTCCATCCCTCACCTCTGCCTGTTGCTCCAGTGTTTCCTCCCAGCTTCCTCCCTCCTCCCCTCTCCTGGGGTGTACCCTTCTTCAGGATACACAGCACTGGATGCGTTTTAAAGATTTTTTTAAACAGAGAATGGGGAATGAAGAAAGATCAGCTGGCTCCTGGGAAGGCAGTGTGACGAAGGGAAAAGAGTCTATGAGCTGCCAAAACAGAGGCAGGTACGGAGTTATATTAAAACTGTGCAAGTTGTTCATTTTTATCCAGTAAATAGGGCAGCAAATCTGGCAGAAGGAACTCACCTAAAAGCCTGTAAGTGAGCTCAGTGACCTGGCACTGTCAGATTAGTTTCCTTATGTGATGCATTGCTGAAAGTAATGTGTCATCATAAATCTTAGTTGCTACAGCTGCTAAAGCCATAAAGTGAAGCAGAGTTATTAATACCCAGTAGCAGTAGCTGTCAGGCTCCATTCTGTAATTGAACATCAGATCTGCAGTTGGAAAACTCTTCTTTTTTGTCTGACATGTGGAGTAACTGCATATCTGCGGATGCCGAGAGAGTGGAGACAGGTAGGAACATCCCACCCACACAGGGCTATGATGAAATCCTCCTGCAGAGCATCAAGAGTGAGCCTCTTTCTCTGTTGTTTCTCTAGCTGCCTCTGCAAGTCTGAGGTTTCCTGCTAGGAGATTAAGCAATTCTTCATCCTGATACATGGATAAAGGTAAACACGTGGATATAGAGGCACAGAGTGTAGTTATGCAGGGAACAGCAGCCTTTCAAAAATCAGAAGTTAAATTTGCTGCTAGAAGCACTGTGACTGTTGGAAAGTCCCTGCTCTAAGGGATGCAATGCTGCCATGGAGGACTTCCCAGCTCCTACAGAATTCTGAGCTCAGCAAAACACTCTTTCTCCAAGAGGCAAGAAATGGTACCAGGCCCCTTCACCAGCAGGACCCGTGCAAAGCAAGTTCCTGCTGCATTTAGATGTGAGGAAGACACAGAAATCCAGAGCTGCTGTCTCTCACGTATGGCTTTTTGAAGATGTCCCCACTACTTTGCTGTGTGCCACCCGGGCTGTGGGCTGCAGACTCTTCCCACAAATCCTCTGATGTACAGACCCCAAACTACCCAAAAGCCAGAAGGAACGGAGCCATCCCGCTGTGCGATGAAAGATGCAGACAAATTCTTCTAGGAGGGAAGAGGGTGTTACGCCTCTGCCCAAGCTGCGGTGCTTTTGTGCCCACAGCAGGAAAATTGGTTTTGCTGGATCCTGGTTGCGCTGTGAGGATCCAGAGTGGGCAGCCCAGAGAAGGCTGGCATTTTCCTTTCCCTCAGGAAGCATCAGGGAGAACACATGCAGAAATGGAATGCACTTGCTGGAGTGAGTGGGCAGCAGTTCATCATCTGACTGGCTTTTTCTTTGCACCTGAGCTCACCCCAACTGCTGAATTAGCCACGTGGTTTCCTGGAACCTGGGGGAGAACATCACAATTTTCGGTGGTAAAGGAGAAGATGATGGGGGGAGGTGGAGGTGGGGGGAGAACAGGCGCTTGCAAATCAGACTGAAAAGAAATATTTACTCTAATTTGGGAGTCATGAGCAAATTCAGGACACATTGCCTCAGGCTGCAGGTGGCAAACACAGGGAAGGGGGTGTGCAGGGAAACAGTGAGGTTTAGGAAGTGCAGATTTGGTCGTGTGAAGCCATCAGGTACTGAGCTGTCTGTGGGTTCTGCCCCAAGGACCTTGTACTTACCCCTACTACAGCTCTTCAGTTTGAAATCACATATTTTTCACATTGTCCACATTTCCCTCATTATCCATGGCTTTAGAAAGCAGCATGGAGGACTGCAGTGCTAACACTACCACTAGACCAACCTCTTGGATCCTGCATCAAACCCTGCCTGGTTTTAGTTGCAGACAGTACTGTTTGCCCCTGCATATTCACAGATTTGAAGGTTAAGAGAGATTATTAACCCCACCCAGTATTCACATAATACCTGGGTAATATAACCCGGCTGTAAAACTCATAGCCCTTTTCGTACCTTGCAGCTGTCTGCAGACTTTTTTCAGATCACTCAAGAAATGAATAATCTGTTTTTTCCCCATGGTAGTTTGCTACAATTGTAATCTGCTTTTACAA